GCATTTAGCAGGGGTGGGGGGTGGGGGAGCCGGGGTCCAGCAATGCACTTCAGCAGGGGTGGGGGGTGGGGGAGCCCGGGTCCAGCAATGCATTTAGCAGGGGTGGGGAGGTGGGGAGCCAGGGGCCCTCGCACCTGTACTGGCAGAACCCAGAGGGAGCAGACCATGGAACAGCTATGGAAAAGGGGCTGCAAAGGAAGAGACATTCACGCTTGGCCAGGTTCCCACGATTCAAGCAACCAGTCCTTGCAAAGATTGTGCTGCATTTGTGACTTCCGAAAAAATATCTGCCACTAGAAATATAATGCACTTAAAACAAGTTTCTTTTCTGTCATCAATCTTTCTCATCAGAAGCGCGGAGTTCCTTCCTTAACAGAAAGGATGGAATAGCTATGCAAATTCAATGACATTACGTAAAGTTCTGACACAAAACTTCGTAATTCTGCGTGGTTGTCTGGACCCCAATCATCCCAGGAAAAATTAATGACCATCCAACACGTATAGTGCCGTTTCCCATACCTAAGCCATGATTACACGCTCTGGATGCTCATGTTTTTAAAGATAACATGTAAACGGGATACTTAGATGGGTTTAAACAGAGAGGAATCTGAAGCTTCTCCTACACTGCAGCCCAGTGGAGCACTGAGAACAGCTTGCTGTTTATGTATCCAAAGTTATGATTCTCGCCCTTACCACGCTGTCCATCACGATTCTAATATTTGGCCTCCAATCCTAACAAGAGCTTACTTGCAAGTATAATTCACATAGTTGTATCATATAATCAAGGCTCTTCTTACAAAGAAAGCACTAATCACATCTAATGCAAACTGGTGAATAGACCCCATCTCGACTAGCACAGCCCAAATTTAGCACCTTAGAGGAATCAACACTTGGCACAGTGGAGACTACTCATCAGGCGACTTGCAGTTGATACAGTTTTTAAAAGCCAAAGTCACTGCCAATAATTCATCAACTGGGTCAATGATGATAAATCCACTCGATTCTTCCACTACAAGAGCAACGGTTATAAACAGGACTTGTTGGAAAAATACCTCAAGGAAAACGTACAATTCTAACCATGGGGGGAATCGCTTTAAAATTCAAAGCAGCACTAAAACGAAAGCTTCTGGCTCGAGCGTCTGTATTTCCTTAAGCAGTTTACTGCCACTTACTACAAGCACATCTTGTCGGGTTTAATCGCCACCCGCAGTGGCTGGAGAGCGGTTCATGTCACACAGTACTTGAAAAATACACACAGAACTTTACCTGGGATGGAGTTTTAAGATTTTCTAACAATATCCCAGAAATGCATAACGTGATGGAAAAGGCATCTATTCACAGATTGAGAAAAAACAATCCTAGTTACTACTCCTGCCCTAGTTCAGAAGCATCAGGACCCGTGACCATCTCTGAAAACACTTGTCAGGTACCCCTAAAAGTACAGCCAGTGTATCCTGGGTTCTCACCGGCGTCCACGGGGTGAGGGGACGTGGGGGCGAGCCCCACAGGGGTGCTGCTGTGACACCTGCATAAACCACTTCAGTGTCTCCAGAGAGCCTCCTGAGGCTCCTGATAATCCGCTGCTTTCCTAAACTGTTTCCAGGAAGCTCGGTTATGCTGTGGGTGGCAACTTGAAGGCTTCCAAGAACTTTCCGTTTTTGTTTGTGCCAACATTTCTGTTTTCTGTCAATAGTTCAGCTATTCAAACATACGAAGCTGGCAGGGGGGCTGTTTGAACCAAGGACTGGAATAGGGGGTCCCAACAGCGTCCATGTTCCAAATCCGAATACGGCGCACGGGGCTGTGGGTGTCCCCGGCACCGGAGAGACAAAGGGGTACGGGGGGGGGGCAAACTGGGACCGACCCCCACCCGGCCGCAACCGGGACGCGGGCCCCCGGGCCCCAAACCCCGGGACCCGGAGTCGCTCGCACGAAGGAACCAGCCAACCCCAAACGCCAGATTCTGGAAAATCCCCGTTCCCATGGCCCAGGGCGCCCCCGCGCTTCCTGCCAGCCCTTCGGGATGTCAGACACCAAACCCAGTTTCCAGCCGGGGTATTGGGGTGCGGAGAGAGGCGGCCAGGAGGTGAGCGCCCACTGTGGCCGAGGTCCCCGAGCCCGCCCACCGGCACCGGCTGCTCCAGATGACAGAGAAGGAAGGGGGAGGGTGTGGGAGGGGGCGCGGGGGGCGGAGGGAGACTCGCGGAGGGGAAGGGGTAAGACAAGGGGTGCGGGAAGGGGTGCGCGGAGAGGACTGGGCGCTGAAAGGCTAGGTGGGTGCGGGGAGGGGAAGGGGCGCGGGGAGGGGAAGGGGCGCGGGGGCGGAGGGGGACTCGCGGAGCGGAAAGGCTAAGAGAAGGGGTGCGGGAAAGGGAGCCGATGGTAAAGGGGCGGGAAGGGGAAAGGACGTGGGGAGAGGAGGGAAGGGGTGAGCAGAGAGGACGGGACACTGGAAGGCGAGGCGGGAAGGGGAAGGCGAGGCGGGGAGGGGAAGGGGCGCGGGAAGGGGAAGGGAACTCGCGGAGCGAAAGGGCTAAGAGAAGGGGTGCGGGAAGGGGTGCACGGAGAGGACGGGGCGCGGGTAGGCGAAGGGGCGCGGGAAGCCGAGGTGGACGCCGGCGGGCGAGGGGCACGGAGTGGGGGACGGGGAGCGGGGTAGCGGAGGGGCGCCGAGGGGCCGCACTCACCCGCGCGGGCTCCAGCAGGTGGTCGGGGCGGCCGCTGGGAGCGGCGGGGGGCGGCGGGCCGTGCGCGCTCATGGCCGCCCAGCGCCGGGGCCCCGCGCCAGCGTCCGAGGGTCCCGCGGGCGGCTGGTCCGCGCCCCTCCCGGGCTCGGCGGCAGGGGGAGGGGCGTTCCTCGCTCCGCCCACGTGGGCCCGCCCCCGAGGGGAGGGGCGCGCTGCGTTCCGGGTGGGCGGGGTCGGCGCACGGGCGGGGCAGGGTCACGGGCACGTGGCGCTCCCGCGGGGGTGGAGGGGTCCGAGGCGCAGCGGGCGTACGGGCCCCGGGCCGGGTCGGGCCGGGGGAGCGCATCCGGCTGGGGTCGGGAAGGGGCACTAGGGCCGCACGGGGGGCGGGAAGGGTGGGAGAGCTTGGATGCTCCGCTCCCTCGGGCGCGAGGCGAGCGCCCCCACCCCGGGCTGGGCGCCCCTTCGCGTCCTTCTCCAGGGTGTCTGATTGGGGGGCTCCCCTCCGCCCTCCCCGCCCTCACTCGGTACAGCCCCGCTGCTTTTCGGGTCCCTGGGGACCCACCACCCCACCCCACCCCCGTGCCGTCGCCGGTCTCACCGCAGGTGACGTGGGACCCCGGGGACCGTCCCGCGAAGGAAAACGCGCGGAAGCCTCGGCTCTTCCCCAAGCACTCGTCCAGCCCGAACCCGGGGGTCACCGCTCCGTGGCGCCCCGGCCTCCCCGCCCTGGGCCCAGTCGGGAGTCCGGTCCCAGCCCCCAGCCCGGGGCTCCGCGGAAACGGTTCTCGGCCGGTAACACTGGCGGTGTAGGCCCAAACACTCCTCGTTTAAATGCAGATGTGGATTTGAGACACGTTTGGGGAAGAAACGCAAAAACACAAGGCCCGAACGTGTAAAGAAGCAACCAAGTGTCTTCCTCCCTTTGTGAGCCCCACGTGCCGGGCCGCGCGGGCCCTGCTGGGCGGAGCCTGCATACGAGGGGCTCTTCCTGCCCCTCTTCCTCTCGCTCTCGCTGCCCAGGCCTGGAAGAGCCCCAAGCTAAGTTCCTAGACCGCCTGACGGAGGAGGGCGGGGGGGTTATATGCTGAACAAACATCAGATTCCAACCTGAGTTTTTTTTCCAGCTTTACTGAGATGTACTTGACGTAACCCTGTGTACGTTTAAGGTGTATGTGGTGTTGATCTGATGCACTTCTATACTGCAGTGTGATCACCACCCTAGCATTAGCTAAACCCTCCAGGTCACAAAATTGCCACTTCTTTCTGGTGGTGAGAACACTTAAATCTCTCTCACCAACGTTCAAGTGTGGAGTACAGTATTAACACCTGTAGTCACCATGCTGTTCATTAGACTCCCTACAACTCACTGCTCTCTGACCAGTGTGTCCCCATTTCCCACCCCCACCCCAGACCCCTCTTTGCTTCTTTTTAGATTCCACGGTGTGAGATTAGACAGTATTTCTCTTTCTATGTCTCACTTACTTCACTGCACATAATTCCTCAAGGTCCATCCATGTTGCTGGAACTGGCGAGATTTCCTTCTTTCTCATGGCTGAATGATATTTCATCATATATATATATATGTATATGCATATATATATATATACATACAAACATACATGTTCATATACACCTATGCACAAATATGTGTCTACAGCATATATATCGTAGGTATGACATACGTACACGCACACACCCACATCTTCTCTATCCATATAGACAACCACCGATGGACACAGGATCTCTCGGTATTCTGGCTGTTGTGAGTAACATTGCAGTACACGTGTGAGTGCAGAGATCTCTTCCATGCCCTGTCTTCACCTCCTTTGGTAGAGGGGTTGCCGGATCCTATGGTAATTCTATTTCTAATCTCGCCAGGAACCGAGGCACTGGTTTTCATAGAGGCCGCACCAGTTTACAACCTGTTTTGACTGCTGAGCAGGTCTGGGCTTCTAACCCAGATGCACAAAAAGAGCGAGACTTTCCAGAATTCTCTCTCCTTTGTATCCCATCTATCCTGTACAGAATATTGGAGCTTCGAACACTTCTGACACTCAGTGGCTTACTAGATAGAACATAAGCTCTTGAAACACAGAAATCTGGTCTTCTTTCTATCCCTGGCACGGTAGGCCCCAAGGAAAATAAGTGTCTCGGATGGACTGGCAAGGAATATTGTAGTACCTTTGTCCACAGCAAAATCTAGAATAAGGACGAGGGAGTATGAGAGAGCATTATTTGAAGTTGCAGGTAAGAAAGCGTTTGCAAAGAGTGCAGAGTTTTCCCGGCTGCCGCCTTTGGACCTCTGTCCCTCTTTTCCATCAGGGGCAGATCCTCAGTTGCATTTACAATTTACACAGTCCCCCGGTGTCTAACCAAGCTCTCAGTGTCTCTTCCACTGCACATCAGCTCGGTGGCCCCAAACACACAGGCCCCTGTCAGCCCCGCCTCGCCTCACACGGCCTGTGCCAACCTTGTCCTGGTCCTTGGCCTCTGCGTGTGGCCCCTATTCCTCCAGCGGCTCCGAGGACCGGGGGGGGGGGGGGGGGGCAAAGCCACACAGGACACCACAGCTCCACCCCTGCTGTGGTTTCTTTTCTCGTGGCCTCAGTCTTTTCAAGTCCTGGTCATTTTGGTAGCATGGAGCTGAGGTTTCTATGTCCCCAGAGCTGTGGGAAGGCAGTTTCTATGTCCCCAGAGCCCTTGGACCGCAGCAGGCACTGAGCCTCCGTGAGCTCTGACACAGGAACCTCAGAAGCCCCCCTTCTCTCCCACGTCCCCAGCCAGCCCGACCCGGTCCTGCCGCTTCTTCTCCTCAGTCACAACTTACTCGTATTTGATTCAGCTTTTATATTTGCTCGATTTCGGAGGGATGATCAAGTACAGGTTTCCCCGGCGTAGCTGCAAGCCGCAGACTCTTGTGTGGGTTTAAAACCATATTTGCTACAGAAGAAATATGTTTGTATACGACACAATTTCTTGGTGTTGTTTAAACTGTGAAAATTTTCTGGAGAGTAAAGAAAGTTTATTAGTTATTTAAGAAAAGAACATCATTTGTGATCGAGTAAGCCTTTCAAAACTGATACGTATATGAATCATGTCTGAAACTCACACACTGTTGTGGAAATGTGTTGATATTTATATGCTAAGGAGTTGAAGTGAATACTCTCTTGAGGCTCTTTCGGGAAGACGGTAGTGTTACATTATAAAGAAAGGTGTGAGATCATCCATGCTCACAGCTACTCAGAGAAAGGAAAAAGGAAAGGAGAGAAAGTAAAGGCTTCCACAGCAGGGGACCTGGATTATCATATGGAAATTTCTCCCAGGGCCTCTGGGGGCATCTGGGGGGTGGCCTCACCTCTCAGAGGACTCAGTCCCTGTGATAGCACCAGTGTCCACGGGCCCAAGTGAATGCCTAAAACGGTGTGAATCTTTGTATCTTTTGCCGCTTGTAGTTTGCGGTATTTTTTCAGTCACCGGGCTCAGCCGCTGTTGACCGAGTGCTGCTCAGCGCTCAGCTGCTTCCGCAGATGCTGGGGTACGACTGACATAAGAGCGGTGGGTCCTCACGGGCGTCCAGCGGATCGCTGACGCAAGAGTACCTCCCTCCCCAGGGGCACTGCTGACGTTTTGTTACCCAGGTCATACAAATGTCCACAAGCGAGTTTCTTCACATACTCGTGTTAAGTATTTTTGAGAATGAATAAATGAGCGCACGACGCATTAAGTCACCATATCCTTACCTGAGTAAGATATTTGGAGAAGATATTAAAGAATATCTAGTAGGCACTGGAATATTCAAATATGCACTTCAATTTTTAGAATGGTCTCCAAATAGAAATAAAGCGTGAATATATTTAGGCTTGACTCATAACCAAGTACTCAACCCTTATTTTCAGTTATGTAAGTGTGCAGAGGCTCTGAGGAGAGAATCAGTTACTGAACACAGAGATACTTAGATTTTCACAGGCTTAAGGCAGATGAATGTAAGTATTTGAACAACTTTATATGGTTCTCAACTTTGGCCGTGATAAAGATAATTATAAGGTTATCTTCTCAATGCTTTCATTCTCTTAATAAGTACTTTAGAAATGTATAAAGTATATGAATTTTGAGAAGTCGGAACTTACGATTTATTCACTTGTTCCTACAGAACATTACTTGTGGTCCATAGATGGTTCTTTATAAGAAAGTGCTCTCATCAAACACCTAGCCGTAACCAAGGCATATGGGGTTCCTTTGCTTCGTGACCTGATGAAGTGGTCATTTATCTCATTCATTCATTATTTATTCCACACTAGGGACAGAACTTGTGTGATACGCTGTGTTCCATGGAGGGCAGGACGGGAAGGGCGGGTCCCGCCTCAGTCAGATGCACAGCACAGGGGAGCAGCAGACAGGGGAATCGGGAGGGCTTGGCATTAATCAGGGAACCATGTCAAGGATCCGTACCCTGCCCACCGCCCCCAGCCCCCAGCCCCACCAGGGTCCTCACCTGGGCCACTGCCCCACCCACCACGTGATGTGGTACCTGCCCCCGCACAGCAGCCCTCCCTTCCAGACCCTGGTCCTTCCCTCCAGCTCACTGACCTGTCAGTCCCACAGGTATCTCACTCCACACGTCCAGTCGAGGACGGGAACCTGTCCTCACCGCCATCCACTGACCCCCCCCTCAACAAGTGTCCACTTCTCCCCTGTTCTGCTTGACCAATGAGATCCAGCACTACCAGCCCCTTATAGCCCATTCTTACCCTCACCCCCCCCTCCCCGTTCAGCCCTGCCCCGTCTTACCTGCCTGGAGAAACCACAACCCATTACGCCCAGCTGTCCCCGCATTCCTTACCTGTCCCCACACACCTGAGCCTGCAGGAAACCACAAAAGCTGTGCACAATGCTCTCCACCCTCCCCAGGCCCTGGATCCCCAGCCTTCCCTCCCCCTCCCTGCCCCCCCTCCAGTCCCTCCCCTCACTGCTCCCTTCCTCCCTATCCCTCTCCTTCCCCTCTCCTGCCTCCCCTCTCTGCTCTCTCTTTACCTTTCCCTACCCCTCCCTTGCCCGTCCCCTCCCTTGCTCCTTCTCTCTCCTTCCTCCTCCCCTGCACTCCCCTCCCCTTTCTCTCCCTACCTTCCCTCTGCTCCCATTCCCTCTGCTGCTGCCATCTTGCTTCCTGACCCCACAGACAGAAACCAGAAAAGAGCTGGAGCCCCCCCCCCCCTCGCCCATCACCCTGCAATCACATCTACCCCCTTTCTGCTTTTCTGCAGACTCTCTGCTTCCACTTTCTCCAGAGGACTTCCCGATGTCCACTCAGAGGGGAGAGAAGCCCCAGTTGCACTATGGAAGCTGTCGCTTTGCCTTTTCTTGCAATTATGTATTCTGTCTCCTTCTCTTGGTGCTCTGCTAGAATACTCTCACCCATTTGGAATGTGTCCTGCACTGAGAAGAGTAAACTGTTCCCTCTCCTGGTCCTTGGAGACTGGTACCCCTCGCTCAGCCCTCCTGCCCTCTGGCTTCTGCAGGGGCGACCACAGCCTTCCCTCCACCTCACTCCCAGTGCTCTGCCAAGGCCTTGCCCCGCCCACCCTCAGCCCTGTCCAGGCTCCGGTGACGACGCCCCTATTCCCACACAGTCAGGTCACCGTGTATCAGGTGCACCTTCAGTGATTATCAACGTGAGTACTTGATTTATGAAAGAGGAGGAGGTCTTTTGTAATTACCTGGAGGCCCCGTTGCAAGTGGACACTTGGAAAATTAAAACGTTGATCACCTTCCCTGGAAGATGTAAGAAACCACCCAATGGTCATTCAGGAGTAATCCAGGCAAAGCTAAAAATATATTTTCAGTTCTGTGGACCCTAAGCCAGATCCGAATGGGATCTCCTTGTTCCTCTTTGAAGAGAAAAGCAGGGTCTTTGAGTCTTTGGAAAGCAGAGTCAAGAAAGGGAGACGTACAGAAGACAGTTTTGGAAGGCAGTGGTTCCCCATGTGAGGCGCTGAAGAGGTTAATCTGTAAGCTTTTTGACTCAGCCATGCTGTACCTAAGAATTTATCACAGTTCGTGATTAAAACACTCGTGGGCACACATCTATTAAGCTTCATTAATAAAAGAAGGTACCACCTTTGTGCATAAAGAGAGGTGAAATACATGCAGCCCGTGCATACCGTTTATGCGGCTGTTACTCTGAGGTCGGTCTCCGCTCATGTGCATTAGACAGGTCTGCAGTATGTTAAGAGAACAAAATGTTAAGTCACAAAATGTGAACATTGCATAATGCACTTTATGAAAAGCAGAAATTAAGACGATTTATGTAAAAATGTATGTGTCTAGGGGTGCCTGCGTGGCTCAGTCGGTTGAGCGTCCAACTTCAGCTCAGGTCATGATCTCACAGTCCATGAGTTCGAGCCCCGCGTTGGGCTCTGTGCTGACAGCTCAGAGCCTGGAGCCTGCTTCCGATTCTGTGTCTCCCTCTCTCTGCCCCTCCCATGCTCATGCTCTGTCTCTATCTGTCTCTCAAAATGAATAAATGTTTAAAAACAAATTTTTAAGAGCGATTTTGGAGGTGCCCGGGTGGCTCAGTCAGTTGAGCGTCCAACTTCGGCTCAGGTCATGATCTCACGGTTCATGGATTCGAACCCCAGGTCAGGGGGCGCCTGGGTGGCACAGTCGGTTAAGCGTCCGACTTCAGCCAGGTCACGATCTCGCGGTCCGTGAGTTCGAGCCCCGCGTCAGGCTCTGGGCTGATGGCTCAGAGCCTGGAGCCTGTTTCCGATTCTGTGTCTCCCTCTCTCTCTGCCCCTCCCCCGTTCATGCTCTGTCTCTCTCTGTCCCAAAAATAAATAAAACGTCGAACCCCAGGTCAGGCTCTGTGCTGACAGCTCAGAGCCTGGAGCCTGCTTCAGATTCTGTGTCTCTCCCTCTCTCTGCCCCTTCCCAGCTCATGCTCTCTCTCAAAAAACAAATAAAAAAAATTAAAATTTTCAAAATAAATATTTAAAAATTAAAAGAAAAAAGACTTCGTGTTAGCGTAAACTGAAGGCATTCACACGCAGGTACACGCAGGCACATGCCCACGAGCACACATCTTTGCCTTCCCATCAGGACTTCAAACTCAGGGAACACAAGTGCTCTATCCTGGGTGGTCCTGGTACTGGGGGGCCCTCACTCCTGAGCTCTCCAGGGATGCTGAACTAGTCAGCTGGCACTGAGACCAGCCAGGCCATTGACAATCACTGAGCCACGGGAACCAACTTCTTTTCCAGGGTCCGCCAGGAGCCGGAAGCTCTGTGCTGCACCCTGAGACAGACTGGCCCTCCTATTGGCCCAAAGGACAGGTCCTCCCAAAGGACTGTTAGCCCAAAGGACCCATCTTCCCGAAGGTCTATTAGCCCAGGGACAGTCCTCTGGAGGCTCTACCCAGCTGAGACTGGGTGGGTAAGCTGAAACTTCTCGGATGAGCCACGAGTCAGTGGCAGCAAATGTCTCTGGAGGACCTGGTCTCACTCCTGGTGAAGTTATAACACTGATCACTGATCATCGACCACGTTGGCATCCATTGGGGTTGTCTACATTACAGCCACTTTCTTCTTTGTAAATAATATATTGTGGGAAGATACTTTTAGGTGTGTAAAATTGTTATTTATCCAATTTAAACTCCATAATTTTAAGTTTCATGAAGACTGATGATAACATTTAAATGAATAATTTTGTGTAAATCTCTGCCTTAATTTTGAACTTTACATCAATATTTCTGAAAATAAATCTGGGTAAGAGCACTTTCAAGACTCTATGTGAAAATGAGGGGCGCCTGGGTGCCTCAGTCGGTTGAGTGTCCAACTTCAGCTCAGGTCATGGTCTCACGGTTTGTGAGTTCGAGTCCCTCGTCGGGCTCTGTGCTGACAGCTGGGAGCCTGGAGCTGCTTCAGATTCTGCGTCTCCCTCTCTCTCTGCCCCTCCCCCACTCACACTCTGTCTCTCTCAAAAATAAACATTAAAAAAAATTTAAGACTCTATGTGAAAATTAAATCACATTTCAGAAAGGTTTTCATGATGTTTTCATGTTGTCTGAGTTGTAGTCAAGAGAATCAAGAGACATGCTGTCCCTTCGTGTGCATTTGCTGCAACTGTGTTTGCCCATATCACGGCCTCTCTGCGCCCCACTGCGCGCCCCCAGCTCCCCACTCCCGTCCAACACATGCTCCCTGATTCTGGGTAAGCTCCACTTGTGTGCTTCCGGCTCAGCCGTAAGTACCGCCGATTTGAGGGCTTAAACAATAGAATATCCTCTCCCCATTCTGGGGCCAGAAGTCTGAGATCCAGGAGCCGGCCGGGCCGGGCCCTTACATGTGAGGGAGACTGTCCCCCACCTCTGGCAGGTGGCGGGCCGTCCTTGCTGCCTCGGCCTGGAGAAGCACCCCCAGACTTCTGCCTAATTCCAGATGGTGCTGTCCTGCTCGGTCTGCAAATTTCCCCTTTTTCTAAAGACAAGGATTGTATTGGATTAGGGCCCGTCCTAATGGCCTCAGGTTAACTTAACTAATTACATTTGCAACAACCCTCTGTCCAGATAAGGTCACATCTTGAGGGTTTGGGGCTAGAAGGTCACCATTCGGATTGTGAGGGACACAGCTGCGCCTGTGACATGTGACCGGCTCTTGCCAGCTGGACGGCACGATCGTGGAGGGAGCGAGGTTGGGAGGGGACGGCCCACATCTGGAGGTGGTTACACAGCAGGAGAAAGGGACACACTTTCTTCAGAGCCCTTTCTGCTCTGACTTCTGCCCGTTTAGCGACACCTCCAGGGAAAGTGCTGAAATGAACATAAACGTAGGAGGAGAGCATTTTCTTGGGAAATTCATGGCAGCTTGCTTCACCCTCGGCTGGGCTCTGTGTCCCTTGGGGTCAAGGCCCCAAACATGGAAAAAGCACTGTGGCTGCAGGTGTTGGGGAAGTGAGGGGGTGGAGGGGGGGCCTGGTGCCCCTGGGGCTCTGCAGGGAGGCTGGCAGGCCTTAGGGCAGCAGGCCGAAAGAAAGACTCCCTCAGGGTCAGGAGCCTCTGAAGAAATGAAAGGCCCATGCTTGGTTGGTTTCATGAGGAAAGGCCGTGGGGTGGCCTTGCACAGTAGTGGGTTCAGGCTGGGGCCCCAGACGTGGCACGGTCTCAGGGATGCGAACTCGGCTGTCTCTCCCTGCTTCCTGTGCACGTCCCCAGTGGGGGGCCAGCCCCCATCGCTGGCGTCCACCTCAACACCCTCCTGGCCTACAGACCAGATCAGTGTGATAAGGACAAGGGTTACGTCTTCCCTGCACCATCCAGATAGGACAGGAGAAAACTGCCCTGAACTTCCTTTATTTTTGTTTCTTTTAATTGATTTATTTATTTTGAGAGAGACAGAGACAGAGCACGAGCTGGGGAGGGGCAGAGAGAGAGAGAGAGAGAGAGAGAGAGAGAATCTGAAGCAGGCTCCAGGCTCCGAGCTGTCAGCACAGAGACCGGGCTCGTGAGATCATGACCTGAGATTGGTTGCGTAACCGGCTGAGCCCTCAGGCGCCCACTCCTTTTTTTTTCATATGTGAATATGGAAAATGTAGCGGGAATGGCTTTCTTCCGTAGCAGCTTCATGGAAGGAGCTAATTCTCCGTGATATAATTCACAGTCCCTCCGCTGAGCCACTGCTGGCAAGGTCATGTCCCTGCGTGACAGGAGGGACTGGGCAGGGGTGTCCTTCCTTGAACAGAGATCGCAAATGTAAGAAATGAAGAAGTGACCCCTGGAGACAAGGTCTACACTAGAAATAAAAACTAGAAGCTGTCTACTAGAAATTTTCCTTGAGAAGGAGCCCAGCATCAAATCTCTTTCAAGGTGTCTGCAGCTTAACTTTTTTTTTCTTTAATGTTTATTTATTTTTGAGACAATGCAAGAGACAGAGTGCAAGCAGCGGGAGGAGCAGACAGAGGGAGACACAGAATCCGAAGCGGACTCCAGGCTCTGAGCTGTCAGCACAGAGCCTGACATGGGGCTCAAACTCACAAACAGTGAGACCGTGACTTGAGCTGAGGTCAGATGCTTAACGGACTGAGCCGCGCAGGCACCCCTGTAGGTTACCTTGTAAAGAAAGCAGAAAACATCCGAACTCTGGGAAGCAAGCATTGATTAAAAGGTACCTGATGTTACTGGTTTCTTTCAGGGGTATCTGTTAATTTCCTGCCTCAGGCCGTCAGAACACTGAGTGGCTTAAAACAATGAACCTTTATTGCCTCACAGCTCAGACCAGAAGGGTCTGACCAGAAACTCGCAGTGTTGGGGGGGCTCCCCCAGGGCCACGGGGGTACAGCCTTGCCGCTCGTGAGCTGACCAGCTGTGGTCTCCTGGGCTGTGGACACATCACCCCTGTCTTGTCTCTGTCCTCACGGCCTCCGTATGAGGACCCAGGAGTGTTGGATTCGGCCTCTCATTACCCTGGGATGACCTCATCTCTGCGTGTTTTATTTTCATCGACCCGATTTCCAAATAAGGTCACCTGCATAGGCACTAGGGGTCAGGACTTCAGCGCGTCTCTTATGTTGAACACAACCCGTCACATGCCTCATGGTGGTGATTTCCACAGCCCACGTTAACACCGTATTAAGCATATTTGTGGTGAGGAATGCGTCCCGGAGAACCTCATCCTGCGGCTTGTAGACACCGGCACACGTTGGCATAACACTGGTCCCACGCTGGTCCCCGCTTTTAACCTGTTCTTCCGTGACTCATTGATCAGCAGCGAGCAGAGTCCTGGCCACTACCCATGTGACAGAATACTCTGGAAGCCGCGGACAGCTGTAGGTACAGAAATGGCAAGATCAGCAAATGATGGTAACGAGCATGTACAATTCTCATAAATTTGAGTATTTTTTAAAGGAGCACATGCCACAGACTTCGACTGATGCCTTCACGAGGTAATAAGCAGGAAGATAAGGCTGGTTCATCGGGAGTTAGAACAAGGTACTTACGTCAGCTCACGTAAAGAATGCTGGCTTAGCGTTGCAAACACAACCTCCAACAGAGTGATGTCGCACAGACCGGAGGGGCTGTGACCTCCGAGGACTCCTGTGCCTGCAGAGGTGACTGACCGGTCACTGGACAAATACACCTCCTTTGCTAAGGGACGGGGGTCTCCGCACCCTCATTTTTCTGTAAGTTGATGTGCGTCCATATAGGGTTCTAAGACACCTGAGAACACTAATATGTGGAAAGTCAGGGAATGGGCCCATCCCTGAAACACCAACCAGGTAACCCTGGGAGTCTGCCCAGCGACACCCAGCGTGACACTGGAGACAGACAGTAACCCTCTGACCTCCTGGTCGGCGTCCAGTGCTCCTCTCGCCACGCTGGGTACCCTCCCCAGACTGTGCGCGACCCCAGGGACCCTGGTTTCCTTGTGTTTGGCTGTGGTTTGTTTACACTGGTCCACAAGAAACGTGAGCGAGCCAGGATAAGTCCGCGAGCTCGTTCATCACCACCAGTAAGTCGCTGCCCAGTGTTTGTGCCAGAGGCTAAGCTTCTTTGGTTTGTGCAGGATGTAGGATTGTGTTTTCAACACCCTCCAGGGTTTCAGAGACCGTTTCGCTGTTTTTCTCTGTCTTTTATTCTAAGGGTAGGAAACCAAATTCAAGAAAACCATCTCTCTCAGTTTTGCCTGCTTCCTAGAAGTTTAGGTGCGTCTCTCCCCGAGGTTGTTCAACTTGACAGAGTTCCTGATTTGCCTGGGAGACACATTCCTTACGCTCTCAGAGCCAGGACCCCAAACCACAGGATCACGCAAGGTCAGCTCCTAGAAAGGCTTGGTAGGCACAGGTTCCACTGACAAAGGACATCCTTGCTTCTGGATGACGGACTTTCCAAACTTGGTCAAATGAGATTTAGTCTCCAAAACAATACTCCATTATGATGTGATTTGCACAACTGATTGGGGCAAAGAAAGAAAAGGGCATCATTTATTTTTGACCCCGTGAAAGTGATTACTTTGCCATTGAAAGTAAAACTATCCAGTAAAAATATTTGCTCTTGAGTATTTTATTTCCATGGTAAGCGCTTGGTTACTAAGTTAGACAGTAACCCTCTGTTCTGGGGAGGAACAAAGGAACAGAGAGAGAGCTTCAGGGTTTCCATACAAACCTGTCTGGAAATACAGAGGAAAGCTACACAGACCTTGTTCGACGACAAAACACATGGCCGTGATCAGTGAGACATAATTAATTCTCACTGTGCTGGCTCTCGGGTCACCTGTTTCTATGGAGCCGCTTGTTACCACACCAAAGGCAGTTCTGGGAACAGGGTACTGCCCGGCGGTTGTCTGATCGGCCCTCCAGCCCGTCCTTGAGGGTCCGTGGCGGGTCAGAGCTCAGCGTCAGCCTCTCCCTTGGAGTACACAAGGCTGCCTTCTTAACAGAAACCTAATTTCTAGCTTTTGGGGAGAGCAGAGCAAACGCAAACCCAGCTGTTGATGATGATGGGACACGTAGTTAATATACTGCGGTGACTCCCACACTGGGACAGAAGAAAGTCACAGCCTCTTTTCCCACTAAACACACAGTCGTTTCATTAGGTCTGGACGCTCGGTTCCCCTCTGAGGTGAGGACACCCTGCACGTGGCAAGGACACGGGAAATGGCCAGCGTCTTCCCCAACAGCTCATCTCTGAGACCTGCCTGCATCCACTCACCAGACAGAAGTCACCCGGTGGTCGGGCTTCTGCGGACGGACGCCTCTCCCCACAGGCTCACACCTGTG